TTTTCTGAATGTGCATGCTACGTATAGTAGGTGATTACAAATTGGTGGTGATTATGTTTTAAATTATGCAATATGCATTATGCAATATTGCATCAAAATTGGCAAAAACCTACTTTGTGCACTGCCGTCACAAACATTATGAAAGAAGACTGTGTTACTTTTTATTTTTTAACTAATAGGAATGATTCTTAGAATTACCATACATCTGATATTTGAAAAACAAATCGATCGAATTATTTTTTCTTGAATTAATGCACTTTTGTGATATTTTCTTTTTTCTTATTCTGGCATTTTAAGGCGTGAACTTGAACTTTCATGGGCCTGAAGTCTTGAACTTGTTACACATTCTTAATGCCCGTGTTACATGTTGTGTATAGTAAAATTTTGGTATTGATTTTATTGTTAAGCATTTTGTAATAATGCAACAAAATTGACAAAATAACGTATTTTGCATCATTATTTTCTGCTTTTTTAAGTACATTTGCCAGCTTTGGTACCTTGTTTATGTGTGCGATAATTATATATTTATCGCACATATAAAAAACCAAAGTTCTCATTACTTAGTTCCCTGATGACCCCATATACATGTATATATACGTATGTTGAAATGCTATTTGTATACTATTCAGGCGAGTCGGATGTTAAGAAGTTTAATCCTGTGGCGTTTTCAGCGCTTGTGGATCCAACAACACCGGAACCACTAGAATCGTGTAACTCCAACACAAGCATTGTAAGACATCAAAGACAACACATTTATCTATTCTCGTCATTCGCATGAAATACACGTTTTTTAGAAATAATTAATACATTTTACCTAGGCACAACTTTGAAACCAAAATATTCCATATTAAATGCAAAGGCTGAATGAAAAGGAAAAAAACTCAAGTAAAACCCATCGATAGTTCCTTCTGAATTATACAGGAAGACATGGTGTTCTGAATGACTGGCAAGTAAACATTGCTCACTGCTTAATCGAATTGCTCTAAATGAGTACAAAAATGTTTTTTTTTTCCAGATGACCTGCCCAAGTGAAGAGATGCCGGAAATGTGCGCGTCACCTTTCCTTTCTCTTGTCAACGTGTTGTACAAGCTGGTTATCGATTTCATGGTCACCGGAAATGACACCATCGATGAGGTGTTTGATGCCTGTAAATCTTTTCGTTTCCCGCGGAATCTTGCAAACCTTTTAGGTAATGACTACGTTAAAACATGGCGACCACAAAGGATGGGTCAAAAACCTTACAGCTGCCTTGTTAAGAATATCTCCTCTAGCACCGTCTACCCACGCGAACGAGAGGAATCCCAATTCGCAGTTCAGTTAAGCCTTAATCTTCTCTTGGCCAAATATATCCGTAATTATGACGAAGGTTTCAGTTTGTTTGCTTCACTGCAGGATCGGATCGAATCTGAGACAGCGGCTTACACATACAAGGGGAACGCCTTTCCTCTGCGCGTGATTCGTGATAAAACCCATAACTGCGCATCAACTCAGCCGCCAGATGCCACTACTTGGTTTGTGACGAAGGCAGCCAACGTCAATTCTGCTTCTTTTTTCGAGAAGGTTGATATCATCTTTGTCATAATGACAGGAATGGCAGCCGGATTGATAGCATTTAATATTACTTAATTCTCCCTAAAAACATAAAAGGACCATCTGTATGATTTTAAAGTGATTTTTTCTTTTGGATTAACAAAATTTACTAAAATTTTACTTTTAAAAAGTCACTCTAGGAGTTCTAAACAAAAGACACGTCCCTTTGATAGATATTGCTAAACTATCAGAATGTGTTACTGTTTATGTGTATTTATTTCATTTTAAGATTGTCTAAAAATGAAGCTATTTCGCAAGGGACGAAATTTCATTGAATGAAATGATGCAATGAGATTTTGAAAAACTAAATTATAACAATTACATCATACTTTTAAAAAATTAGAACAACACAAAACTCTGAAATGGTATTATTGAAACAATTTTCTTGTGGTTAATGGTATTTTCGTCAGACTGACCAGTTTTTGATAAATCATATTGTTTTTGCAAAAATTACATCATCTTTGAAAAATGATCAAGATTATCACTTCTTTTCAGATAAGTTCAACAAGAAGTGGTTTATGTACATTTAGGTAAAAAGGGTGCTTTGAATCTTACGCTATGTCACTTTTTTTAGTGTCTCATTCCCCCTTCCCCCCCCCCCCCCATCCTGCACCCACCAAAAAGCACAAAAAGCAATCAATTAAAATATTTTTATGTCAAGTCTGAAATGATATTTGGATATTTTAAATTGGCAGTGTTTCCAATAGGTATATTGTCTACAGGGGAACTTCACTTTCCAGTGTTGCTTATGAAAGACGAGTCTACCGGTAACATTCAAAATTTCTAACCTGTTCACCGTGAACATATAAAACTAGGCATTACGTTCTGGGGCTTCTCTTCTGCCAATGGAAATGATTTAGATTCGATTGGAATTACTATTATCTATTTTATTTTTTGCATATTCAGAATTGTCTATTAAGGATGTTGTTTCGTTCTTTTATTGATAGTATTTTATTTATCACGGTTGCGTTTACATTTGTGCTCGTGTTTCACTTAGATGTTTTTAAATATTATTTCACTAAGTATTCACAGAAACGGTTGTTTAAAAAAACAACAAGCTTTGTAAAAGTTTTGGAAATTAATTTAATATATCATTCACACGACATGTGAAGCTTTATATAGGGGTATTCACAGTTCCCTTTCCTGGGCAAAGGTGTTTTTGTAAGTTGGGGGTGTTGTCACGTGACTGGATTTACGTAATACCTTGTTTAAACTTATCAAATCATGTAATGTAAAATTTTTAAATGTACATATCTTAGTTCATCAGGCATCTGTCATTATATATAATTAATGGACAAATGATTTAATGCTAGCTCACTGCATGAATTCAAAATTCAAATACCGCACAATACTGTCTAGCACTAAAAATATCCCTGCCAGGCTTGTTTTCAAACTTGAGCTGTATTTTCACTATCCAAAGAAACCTTCTTGTAAGTTTGATGACGACAATTGCAAGTAACAGTATTCAAGGCGACACTAACGGCAACGACAGACGCAGGTGATGCCCAAATGTCCAGATAGATAGCGCCTGTCCATAAAAAGACAGCATATTCTAACTAAACTTTGCTACATCTAATTAGTTTTATTAGTATTTGTATTATATATCTTTATTTTTATTGGTTTCAAGTGTTTTGACATATGTATTAACTTGTAGTAGGCTATTGTATAGATATTTTTACTGTTGTTAATTAAGTGTTACAAGTCTATTTTAATTGATGTTATTTTCCACAATGTCATTCCTCTGGTGCACTTTACGTCAGTGACAAATGAAGGTCAGCGTCGTCACTGCAACAATAATGTTATTTTGACAGACATTTTAAGTTCAGAAAAAAAGATTCAGTTTTATTTTGCACAATCCTTAACTTAACGAACGGAATATATTTTCTGCTATTTTAATTTATCTTCGGCTATTTGCCCTTCTCAGAAAAAGCACGACAATCATTTCATTTTGTTTTCGGTTAATATTTTGTTGTTATTGCAAAAATAAAAGTCGCACAACTTATAACCGTGTGCTTGTGAATGGTCGTTACTAAAAATTATCTTTGTGTGTGGCTTACCAAAAAAGGTCCATCTCCACATTGATTTCCAACATGTCTCCGCAAACTCTGATTTTAAATCATTCACTGGTAGGGATCGCCGAAAAACGCACATTCGCTATCTCCTAATGTATATTTTTGAATACTTTTCCACTTGAAATATTCCTTTATAAACTTATTACAGAACGGAGACGAAGTGGGGGTGGGGCGTAAAACGAGTACGAAACACGAGACGAGTGTGGGGAGGGGGGTGGGGGGTGAGGCAAAAACCACTGTGGTCGCGCGTTAAGGATCGGTATAAAAACAAACAAGGACAACCATTATAATTGATATCGATTTACAACTACAGCTATGTGTAACAACCCAAAACATTTCGCCGGGGAAAAGAATTTGAAATAATCAACAAGATGGAAAAGAAAAACTAAAATCTATTGAAATGTGGTCTTAGGGTCAGAATCGTGTGGACAACACTCAGAATTTTATTCATTTCTCATTTTTGGGGTGGGGTGGGGGGATTTAAAACACTAGTACTATCTGCTAATTCAAAAACTACAAACGCTAAAACCCTAAATAAAAGTACATGGTGTCAATATTTCCTTCTACAAAGTATAGGAAAACGTTATGAGGAACGTTTAAGACTAAAATTTGTATTCAAAAATGGTATAAAACATCTTGTCTAAGTGAAGTACCGAGTCGGGCAATGATTTGAGCGTACATGTAGGAGGGAATTACTTTAAGGTTTTCTTTTAAAAAATCGATTTGGCGGGAACATGCTGGAAAGGATAATATACCTAAAACGTACTGCCTATTGGATGCACGGCATTTTTGGGGCTTTAACCGACCACAACTCCAACGAGACCAAAAAGTTAAAAATGACAGTAACAATAATAGATATTATTAAATCATCCTACAAAGCACATTTCACAATCCTTGGACTTAACCAAGTAAATGCTTGCGAATGAAAATGAAATTTTGAAGCAAGGGGCCGCTCATTTCGTAACCTTAAAAACGCCTTTAGATTTTAGCGCGGGCTCTTCGTGAAGAAAATTTGGAAAACAATGTTCAGCTGCGGTAATGACTTCCAAAGGGCAAACTTTCAGATACATACTTTTATAATCACAAAATCACATTTCTATATAGGATTTGTGGTGTTTTAACTGCATAGAATAGAGCTATAGAATAGCCTCCCTTTAACTCTGTTCCTACCACTCAATAGGAATGTTTAAATTTTTAGAAATCTTGACTTTAAAATGTAGTATCTGTAAAATCACAACCCTCCCCCTCCCCCCATTAAAAAGATGGAGTAATGACCGTAATTCATTTAGCCTAAATCTTAAAGTGAAAACCTCATCAATGAACTGGCATACTCTCTTTCCAATATGGACATATTTATTCCATTCCATTCATTATGAAATTCACGGATCACAATATTTTTATATTTGCTCAACTATAAACATAACTTCATCAAAATATTATAAAGGTAAATGTAGAATTTTTCTTTGATCACCGTTAGTTATGCATTAAGAACCTGAAAAAATTTGCACTTAAATTTCCCTGGAACAGAGCCTCCTTCTTTTGGTCATATTAAAGACAAGATGTATAAAACATTCATTTCATGACAGACCCTGTATACAAAATTGGAAACATGGAGCTCGAGTTCTGAGACTAGATTATAAAATCAGTTATTTATCACAAAAATTAAAAAGTGGTGTCAGTTGATTTTACAACTAATTACTTGAGCGGACATGATGGCACCATGAAACGCGTAATCAAAACTTGTACTATATCTGTTGTTTGACAACTTTGTTCGCTATAAGAATAAAAGATAAAATATATTCCTCATCACAAAATATTCCACGCAATTCTCTATCCAACTTAAATTTATCTGGAATATACTTCAAGATTGAAGAGAAACATTATCTGCAAAGTACATTTTTTTTAGATTAAATACAATTTAGTACACATAAAAATATATCTGCCATTTTCTGAAACGTTTGATAGAGGGAGATTTCTTATTTGCTGCTACAGTGATTCGCTGTGTGAAAAAAAATGGGAGATACAATTAAAGGTGTGATGAAAGAGCCACAAGTTGCAAAATCCTGCATTATCAGAGTGCCGCATTAAATATATTTACTGATTAGTTGTATGAAAACAAAACTGATAAAAGCAGACATATACAGAAAAATATCAAATTAATTCAACATGATTTCTATGGAAAAAAATCAATAGCATTCTGTAAATGACACATATATATTACTGACTAGTAATGAAAACTTTTACAAATACATAGAAAAAATGAGTTAATGTCAATTTTCTGATAAAATGGTGGAAGCATGTTTTGCATAATATACCATTAATGAATCTTCTCTTTAATCTCTTCTTTAATCTCTTCAGCAATTTCCTTAATCTCCTCCTTGATCTCTTCAATGTCTAAATCCCCTATGATGTCCCCTGTGTCTAAACTCCCATTTTCCTCACTCTTGATTTTATAATGATCCTCATCCAGTTTTAATTTCCCCTTTTTCCACAGGTGATACATTTTAGTGTATTTTTTTAGCGCAAAACGCATAATACTTATCCAGAACAACCACCCTATGATATAAATACAAGTTCCGCCAAACTTCCCCAAGAAGTCTGTGTTTGGATGCTGGTAGTAAGTAATAAGGAGAGAAGTGCCCATTCCAATTCGGGCAAATCCAAACAATGCCATGAATAAAATATCATTTACTTCTCCGAGGAGGGTTTCATACTGCCCTGTCTGTCTTAGAAACCAGCGGAACTGCAGAAAAGGATTGGTCACTTCGGTTGCCAAGAGGGTCGCCACCATCTCTGTACCGTACATTCCACGGAGCACTGTCACTCCCAAACCAATGCTGCTTAAACAGTGATGAAGTAACATTACAAAACCTATAATAATAATAAAAAAGATGGCTATAATAAGTCACTGAGCACTAGTCAGTAACTGAATTATGACAATTTGCCTGAACAATGAGGGAAAAGTTATAATAGGTAATGAATGGATGCAAAAACTCCAACTCCACAGATTGCATCCATCAAAGATGTTGAAATTCTACAATTTAAACACTAAAAAGTTATGACTTAGGGCGCATTCTGAACAGTGGTCTAACAGATTTTCAGATCAAATATAGCCAACCCACTTGAATGCTTGCTGTGTAATCCCAGCAGGGAATCTATTCAGTATCTAATCAGTATCTAATCAGGAATTAAGCGGCAAGCTTTTTAGTGGGTCGCCATATTTGATCCACAGATCTGTCCGCTGTTCTGAATGCAATCTTACCACCCCTTAGACCCCATTCCCAAAGATTAGATCGATCCAACTAGATCGACCTAACTCCCTGGGGGTTGGTTCACGCTAAATAGCTGTCAGCCGAGCAGGCACGAAAGTTAATTACCGCCTTACAGCCTGTAGTAGGCGGGACGGACATTTAAGCCGGATTATCTGACAATAGTGAGACTCCCCACAGGGATAGATCGATCTAAAATCTATGGGAATGCGCCCTTAGAAACCCCAAGGCTCTGATGTAGAACTTACCTTCAGTTTTAAAATATATGCACCACATGAAATCATACAGGAAGTACCCTAGGGACATCTCAGCTATAAACTGTTGTAAAGGGGAACTGCGCCCTCCTAATAATGAAGAAGAAGTAGAAGAATAAGCCAATCAAGGTTTGTTTACTTCTAATATGAAACCTCATGCTAAAAGGAAAACTTTCCAGCTGCTTATTTCATAGATTACTGTTTTCAATTAATAAAATCAGCAGAATTCCCCTAAAATCCTTATCAAAATATGAAACTGCAGGTTTTACAAATGATCATGTATTTATTGCGTTAATAAATAAATAAATAAATAAATAAATAATGGAATTCACTCATAAAATTGGTTCATGGTTATCTTTAAGACTATAAAAAATCAGTCGTATTTATTCTTTACTAGTAGATCTGTTTTTTTTTTTAGCACAGCTCAAATTGGCAGTGACAAAAACATTCAATAATTTAAATTCCATTAGAATATATGCAAAGAAAGAGCTGAGAGAAATACACCATTAAAATAAAGTCAGGTGATACATATTAATATTACAATTACAAATAAGCTCACTTCAGTCTGTTAATCAACTGGAAAATCAAGCAAGTCAGTTCACAAAGTTGATGACACACATATTTTAATTGTTAAGTTATCCTTTCTGCAATTTATATCATTTTCATAACCTCTAGTTATTGCTAAATTTCATGTTAGATGAACCATAAAAATACCTCACTAGCTGTTCCCAACATGCATGTGTACTTTATGTGTGCATAGGTGTACATATTTGGTGTATCTCATATATATGTGTGTGTTCAAAGTATTAAGTCTCATATAAAAGCAGTTATCTCTCATAAGCTTGAGTCATTCTATATTTCTACTCTAAAAGCAGGTGCACATGCAAATAAATAAACTAAAAGAAAAAATCGACACTTCAACCAAAAGTGAAAACCCTTTTACACCACACTGTTATGACAAACAAAAAGAATATTTTTTCATCCTTTTTTAAAATTTTGTTTTTAACCATCTTTTTTCTGTAAAAAAACATTTTTGTTCAAAATATTCAATGTGCATACTCTACCTGGTCCAAAGGTATACAACTCCCAAAAATGTCCTTGCAGTATATACTTGAAACATCGCCAAATTGCATAATCATCTATAAATGGACAAGCAACTTTGCTATACCTCTATTTATCTTAAATCTTTGTATTTTCCTTTCACTTAAATTTGCTCCAGATCTCTTTATGTCAGTCACACATACACATGTCTGTCTATGCAAGACTCATAAGATAATTAATGTAACACCAACAAAAAAACTTAGGAGTTTAAGAAAAATTACCAGTATAAGTTTCATAAAATCTCAAATTTGATACCCATTTGTCTTTTTTACTTAAAATTCATAAACCACAAAAATCAGTTATTTAAAATCTATTCTTATAAAGCACATTAACACTTTTCATCAGTGCCATGTACACATTTAAATGAACAGAATTAATTTGAATAAAAAATATTATTAAAATTGTATTAAAACAGAAAACAAGTATCATGTTGTTTAATGACTATCATTTAAAAAGTGAAATAATGCAAGATTCCCATTCATACTGGTAAACAGATATTTTGGATGGTATCGGAGTGTTTAAAAATTATTTTCAAAAGTTTTGTATCAAGTTGAGTGTTTGGAGATATATCAGCTACTAGTACAGCTATGACACAAAAGGCTCTAAGACCTAAGAGCTTGCAGGGGAAAGGCCTGTCAACGGCACTATACAACCAGTACACCCTCTAAAAAAGTTACCTGGTAATGTAAATACCCATGGCCCCTGCACAAAAACAGCCCAAAATGCCAAACAGCACACAGTTATGGCATGAACAGCACTGACAATTCTACAGTTCCATTCATTTTTGTGGCTGGAATTCAGGACACAAAGGACAAAGTATAAGGTGGCCCATCCTAAAACCCAGGCTAGAACAGAACATAGGGCCCCTGTGTATGTCACTTGCACTGGTTCAATTGCCTGAAATAAAGAAAAATATTCAAAATTAAAAGAGGAGAAGATAAAAATCTGCATCCCATAAAAGGCAAGTATAGCTACGTCAATGCAGATATCTCAACTCCCTTAAAGCAGATGTTACATCTGCTGCAGGATAGTGTGTGTGTGTGTGTGTGTGTGTGTGTGTGTGTGTGTGTGTGTGAATTGAGTAAATCTTTCTGAAGTTAGTGATTTTAATTTTATATTTTTATTTTATAAAGCCACCCCTTCATTATTCCCTTGCTAAACTAAATGATTTTAGTAAGACACAATATAAAAATAAATAAATAAACATTGCATATATATACACTAACTAACAAATTTAGTAAAATCAAATTTAAAAAAAAAAGAAAGAAAAAGGGGGAAACGACCCAACTATGTTTTAATTCAAACATATATTTATGATACACCATAAACCATTATTCGACATAGGGGTTACTTTCATGCATACTTCAGCATGTTTACTTTGTTCAATGATTAACTAATGTCGTCAAGCGTATGGTTGCTTGTCAAATAAAAGTCACATAACTATAGCATGGCACAATATGAAGATTAGAGACCTTTCATCCATGAGATCCATTATCAATTCTGTAAGTTAAACACCGTTGGCCATTACTGCTCAGTTCAAAATGGGAAATTTATACATGTAGCTACCGTGGTACAGACCAAAATATTATATCTCGATTAAGGTACTTTGAAATAATAAAACCGGACAACCTCTAAGACTTTAAGATATATATTGGGGATAGAAAAGGAGATAAGTTACTCTTATGGTGTACATAAGTTGGGGTAATTCTGAATGAAAGCCTAGTTTGTTGCCACACCCCCGTTTTCATGTACGCGTAGCTTTATGCCGGGGTGAACTCTGTGTATAATATCGAGCCTTAAATCATAACCATTTCTCCTATCTTCCACCATAAAGTTTCATACAAACTTACCGACATCCTCAGCAATTACAGGGACCCCAAAGAAGATAAAGAAACTAAATATTCACAAAACTATTAAGTTCCTCTCACGAATTCAAAAGGAAAGGCGCCATACTGTCAACAATACAGGCCCGGGTCGCATAGGGCTAAACACAAGATTGCAGATGTTCTTTTGCGATATAATGCAGAAGTAGCAAGTTTTTGTTATTTATAATTTAAATATTCAGATTTAGGTATGTTTTTGAGCAAAACTGCTAATATAAATAATACGAATGTAACCTAATTTGCTGCGGAGTTTTTTTTATGACCTGCGCATGCTCAATATCTCTAAGTTACCGGTGACGCACACAAAACAACTCGCCTCCTGACCTTACCAGGTAAATAATCGATATTTGCATAACTTTAAAATAGCACTGTTCACCAGGCGCGTATTTCAAACGAAAGTGGGCGGTATGACAGTATAATGATACGAATACTGTTTCTCCCCTTGTTTTACACTTTTTAATGCAACGTTTACCTGACAAACTTAACCAATGAATAAGGCTGAATGAAAACGGGGGAGAATAAAAATATGTTGTTTTTTTACCAGTGGCTCGGCATTTAAATTAAACCTAGTACATGATAGCACTTTATTTATCTTTGTAATAGTGTAATAGTCAATGTCGGTAGCTTGGTGTAAATACCACATGCATTATGGTTTACAGTACAGCAATAAATTAAGTTTTGTTTGCATTTTATCATAAATATATATTTCACATCACTGATAGGGATAACTCTGATACCCATAATCATAGTACGGCAACCATTACTATTCCAACACCCCGAAGAGTAAGAGGATGCCACGCCTCGCTCGGAATAGAGATTACTATGAGCGTGTAGAAAAAATCCCACCAGGTTTCACAACTCTGGTGGAGGACATGGTGCGAACAGCCATGATTGGGGAACCTGTGGATATCTACAGCTTCTTTGCAGAATTTCTAGAGAGGCGCTTGGAAAAAAGAGAAAGGGGTTTGTGCATGAAAAATAATAATGATTGAATAGATGAAATAAAATTTGATAAAATAATGTTAATAAGATTATAATAATATATAAAAAAATATATTGTCGTAGTAGATATATTGATAAGATTTACTTGTAAATAAAATACATGCACGTATTAATAGGTAAATTTAATTAATGGCTTATTCAACAGTATATGCAACAATGAATTATTGTGTACATTTATAGTCATATTAGAGATCTGTCCATGATGTATATGATTCTGCAGTTTTGACTAAAAATAATCTTCAGTAAAGACTGTAAAATGTGCTTATCTAAATTTAATGTAAACATGTGTTCAATACTTGCTTTTCAAGAAAACAACTATGATTTCAGCTCTTCTAGATAGCTGTGATGATGAAGGCATCAGTTCTTTTGGTAGTATGCAGAATGAAACCCCTAGCCCAGTCCAGAAGGGTAGGTTCAGATGATTTTTTAGATTGTTCAATGATTGATTATGGTACCTAAATGAGTTGGGTGCAGTGGAAATAACTTAAGGAAAATAAAAAGGGAAAACCAGAACAGTAGACTAAATTCTCTCTCTCTCCCTCTCTCTCTCTCTCTCTCTCTCCCTCTCTGAGTTTCTTTTAACTCCATCTCAGTGAGCAGAGCTCCATCAGAAGATGTTGTCCAGAAGGTGTCCCAGACTGCGCTACAGTCGGCCTCCCAGGAGGTGACTGCTGTGGACAGTGCCTTGGAAGAGGAAGTGATCAAGTCTGAATTGCCCTCTCCACAAGAAGAGGACGAGGCAGGGGCAGCAAGCCAGCAAGGTATAATGCAAATTTTTTTTTTCAATTTATATGTAGTATTAAAATGTGTAGAAAGCTTTTGAAAATGTATTTATTCCAAGTGACATGGGTTAATTAGTTTGAAAATTTCAGTGTAACTTATTGTTACAAAACACAGAATGCAATCTGAATGGCTGCAGTCCATGTCAGTTGAAATTTATATGAGTGACTACTGTGTATGTGAAATATCTGAGACCCTTGCCAGGTTTTATTGTCAAAGCCAGATAGTGTGACAGTTGTGACAAGCTGTATATCTATCTAGGTGATTGTGTTGGCTGTGACATTGTATGGAACAATATTGCCACAACAGGTCCAAGTTGTAGTTGTCAGTACTTCAATTCATACTTTAAAGCACATTTGGAGTTTTTTTTAGTCATACAACGGTATATTTTGCAGTATGTCATTGTTATAGCAGCAAAATTTCATTCATTTTTTTCTCTTTTTAACTTATTTCCCTTTACATTTTAGGAGGTGGAAAAAACCTTGCAAAGTGTCATCAATTATTATAGCAGTTTCAAAATTATATGAAGCTATAATAACTCATATTATCAATTACTAAATCAAAGTACAAGTAGTAATTGTGGTAGTTGTGACAGTGGTAGTTGTGACATTAAATTGTGTCTACCAATGTTTCCAGGTCCCAGTGAAGGGGACTCACTGGTGGTGGTTGGTCAAGGAATCCCAGAGGTTTGCCTGCAGAGAGTCGCTTCACCGAGGATTCCTTCAGATGAGACTCTGAAAGATGAGAATGAGGAAGAGAACATCTCAGGAGAAGCAACTCCAGTTCAGAAAGATTCTGGGGAGGCTCTGGAACAAGGTGTGTGTGGGTATGCACGTGTGTTTCAGTAACATTAGTACTAGAGTCCTTCACTGAGGGGGCTTCTATAAAGAGTTTTAATAAACATGCCAGATTTTTTTTTAATTCTAATGAGTAATTATAAATAATATCCTTATGATTTGTCAACACTAAGCTACAAAAATGACTTTTGTGTAAAGCAGTTAGGTGCATTAAGATAGAGAACCTTATTTTATGGACCTTTTGTTCAATACTTATTGTCTTGTACCTCAACTGTCTACTCGTAACAGAGGCAGAAGGTGATTTCCCCAGAACTCCAAACACTACACCTGTTGATGAGGCTCAGATTGTGAAACCTGAAGAAACTCTGAAGCTGGATGGAACACAAGACGTGGAACACATTGAGGAGTCAGAGGGTGGCAAGGAAGAAGTATGTTTCTTCTCACATTGAATCAACAGCATTATTAGAACTAATTATACTTTCTTAGCAATCTCACTTGAAATGGAGTTTTTATCACTGTTATGCAAATCTGCTAGTGTTCAGAAATAAGAAAGGCTTTCAAATTACTTTAAGAAATTAACCTTTTTTTCATTTTCATTTTTTTTCACTTATGAACTATCATTCTTATTGCCCATCTTTAAAAGTGAATTTGTTACTTCCTTGTAAGTTATCTCATTTTTGATAATGTTATAGCTGTGTATTATTTTAATATAAACCTTTAGGTGTTAGAGAAAGCTGAAGAAGAGGAGTTGGAGAAGACACAGATTGCAGAACTTGAGGAAAAACAACCAGCAGAAATGGAGGCTGAACCTGAGGCAGAAATGGTAGCTAAACAACAATCTGGAGAAGCAGAGACTGAACCAGCAGAAATACCTTTGGAAGAGAAGCCTCAAGCAACAGAAGAACTAGTAACAGTAGCACCTGCTGAAGAAAAAGAATTAGTTGAGGAGGTGGCTGGAGATGATGAGACTACTGGGCTGGTAGAGGAACAAGCACCAACTGCTGAAGAGCCTACAGATATCACCTCAGCAGCTGCAGAGGAGGCACCAACTTCTGCTGTAGAGCCATCTGAGCCCTTGCCAGCAAAGGAAGATACGGGGAAAGATACAAGTCCAGCTGTAGAGGAGGATGCTACAGTAGAAGAAACCCCTGAAAAAATGCAGGAAGAGGCAGATGAGAAAACCCCAACAACTGAAGCAACAGCGCCTTTAAATGAGGCAGCACAAGAACATGCACAAACTGAAGCAGCTGAAGAACAAGTCCTTCATACAACAGAAACAGCTGAGGAACAAGCCCCTCCTGCAACAGATGCATCTGAAGAACAAGCATCAAGTGTAGCAGCTAAGGAAGAAGTCCCTCCTACAACTGAAGCAGCAGAGGAACAAGCACCAATTGAAGCAGCTAAGGAGGAAGTCCCTCCTACAACTGAAGCACAAGAGGAACGAGTACCAACTGAAGCAGCTAAGGAAGAAGTCCCTCTTACAACAGAAGCAGCAGAAGACGAAGCACCAAGTGAAGTAGTCAAGGAAGAAGTCCCTCTTTCAACAGAAGCAGCAGAAGAACAAGCACCAAGTGAAGCAGCTGAGGAAGAAGTCCCTCCTACAGCTGAAGCAGCAGAGGTACAAGCACCAACTGAAGCTGCTAAGGAAGAAGTGCCTGCTACAACAGAAGCAGCAGAAGAACAAGCACCAAGTGAAGCAGCTAAGGAAGAAGTCCCTCCTACAGCTGAAGCATCAGAGGAACAAGCACCAGTGAAATAGCTGAGGAACAAGAACCAAGTGAAGCAACAACTGTAAAAGCAGAGGAACAAGTACCTGTTGCTGAAACAGCCAAGGAAGAAATCCCTCCTACAGCTGAAGCAGCAGAAGAACAAACAGCAGTTGAGGCAGCTGAAAAGCAAGTACCTGCAACTGAAGAAGCAAAAGAACTCACAGCAGAAGAGACTCATGATACTAAGTCTGAAACAGCTGAAGAACTAAGTGCTGAAGAACCAGCAGAGACAAAGGAAGCTGATACAACTCAGTCTGAAGAGCCTACTGAACAAGGTGAATTATCACAAGCACCTGAAGCTGTCGAAGAAGTTCAGACAATGGAGGAAGTGGTTAAGACTGAAGAAAGTTCCTCAGCTGATGTCCAGCCTCCAGAACCTCAATCTGAGCAGAATGCAGTGGCAGTTTCACTTGCTGAAAATGAGGCTGAGCCTGCCCTGGACACTCGGGCAGAAGCTGAACCTCCCGAGGCTGAGATTACCCAAGAGGAATCCAGTAAAGAGTCTGTGCAAGAAAGCACAGAGATGGTGCCATCACCTGACCTAGCTAAAGAGGTAGCTCAAGAAGAGACAAATGCTTCACCAGATAAGGAAGAGTCAGCCCAAGGGGCTGAGGCAACAGAGCCCAACGGTTCTGCTGATGGCATTGCTACAGAGAGCACCAGTGCTGAGGAACCAAATGAAGAAGCAGCTGTTCAGCAAGGAGAGGGGTCACCGGATCTTCAGAGTGCTCCTTCCATAGAAGCTTCTGACACACCAACAGGAGATGCCATGCCAAATATCGATACTGATGCTGAGTCGAGGCCTACTGAAAGAAGTAACGAGGAAAACCCTCCAGAAGACCCTACCAAAGTGGAGAGCAGTGACACACCATTACCCAACGAAGAAGCAGCAGCACAGAAAACTGAACCAACATTAGAACAACAGCAAACAGAGAACCCAGTACCAGACCAGGATGGCATTGAGAGCAAAGAGCAGGCTGAGGATCCAGATCTCAATAACAATGAATCAAACAAGCCATCTGATCAATTGGAAGAAAATACAGATCCTCCTCCAGAAGCAGCTGCTTAATGACCGCAACCACGAATTTAAAGATACAGTACCCTGTCATAAAAAACAGACATCACATAATATTGTGTCACCTGGACTGCCACAAAACAGAAATCTGAAACTTCTGCAGTGCTTAATACTTGGGGGAAAAAAGGCATTGGTGGTATAAGAGCACAAATGCACAAGAAGAGATTTCAAAACTTTCCGTGCAACAGTATCAACTGAATGTTTCAGTGATTCAGTGAAATTTGGCCATCATTTTAGTTCACATAAGTGCCTTGTTTGCATAAAATAATCAATATAAAAAAATGAAATCTTCATGCAACGTCCAACTTGATATTTGTAACATCAGGATCTGTGTAAATTATGTCTTTTACTTTCCAGTTTTCACATGCATTACTGTGTCTTGCCAATCAAATAAAACTATAGTTCTTTAACATTTTCCCCTTTAACTTTATGCAAATTTTTTTTTTTTTTTTTTTTTTTTGAGACTGAGTTCACTTAGCTTATATCTGGGAGGCCAGTCAAGGTCACTTAACCTAGCACTGAAATAAATTCTCAGTGAATATGATGGAATCCACATAAGACTGACGAGAGGTAACCTTATCCCTTTGTTACCTACCCACTGCCATCAAGTATGATAACTGACCAAAGCTCCTTTCATATTGAGCAATATACAAAGCAGTACAGTTGTACAGCTACACTTTGAGAGAAACCAACTTATGAGGCAGCAGGCTGACTGTTATTTAAGAGATGGAGTCCAACATTCAATGCATTTCATCAATCAACGGCCCTAACAGTAGAAAGCATAGTAGTGAAAGCTATATAAATCCTCGAGTGTGATGTTAGAACCTCTCATAGTGTACTGGTATAGCTATATCTCTAAAATGTTCTGCTCAAGGCCAAAATGGGCCTAATTTTCAATCTCTTCCAAATGGTGCTAAGGTATGACTAGAGTCACGAGTGGCTGTAATTTTGATTTCACCAACATTAAAAATGAATGATCCTCTTAGGAAACATGTGCAGGCCTGTGCATACATGTCACCTGAGCAGCTTTTATTTTATGCTTTGACAAATTGTTCTAGTTAATTTTGTTTGGAAAATAAGCACAGATTTCGGGATTTTGTACTCAAGATACCTTTCTCACAAATTGACACCAATTTCTTTTTAACCCTCACCCCAAATTATCTCACTGGACAAGCAGTAACACATGGATAAAAGTCAAGAACACAAGCTTTAACAATATAAATTATCTTTATAAGTTCACTTTGTATATAAAAGGATACAAATACACATTGTCATCTACATAATAAAACAGTTCAAGTACAGCATATATGATGAAAGCATTGCAGATTACATTTCAATATAATCACAAGGACATGATAAAATATCTAATTTACTTATTCAACAATACTTCTGCCTCTTTTACTGACCATCTATCAGATTTCCTCATACACTGCATTTATCCACATAATGTCTACTTCCATTCATTCACACATTTACTTATAAAGTTTGTATAAGACATTCAATGCATACCTGTTTATATTTTAACCCAGAAGTTTGGGTGCCTTCATTCTTCAGAAAAATATCAGACAGTTAATTATGACAAAACACTAAAACTATAGAGTATAAAATTACTGAATAAAAATAAGAAAAGATGACAAAGAATGAGGATGTATATGTACATAATGATATGTTGTTCATCTCTTTAAAAATTATTTATATGTTATACACACCATTTGTTTCTTTATAACTTATAAAAATACATCCATCAATACGCAAGCCCAAAAGCATATAGATCTTCAGCAACTGTCCAAGTTTAAAAGCAGGTGTACAAAATTATCTAACAACACCAGCACAATTTTTATGAATTAGAAATTCTAAAACTTATGAGAGCTGACAATTCTCAGCCATCTTTCACTCAAATTTTAAAAAATCATAAAATAATGACAAATATTGAATACATAAAAAAACTCCACTTTTCACTATTCTAAAATGTTTACACATCTATACATTCACATAAATTTCATTTCTGTACACTATAATCCTCAGATTTCAAATAATGTTTATGTTCTATTATGTACAGAAACTGCATGCTCAATACTTAAATCACATTTGGTAATATTCATCAATAAATCATACCTCAATTTGATTATTTCCTGACAATTTTCCAGCACTGTTTTCTTTTTGAAGGATCGTTTTCAGAACATTTTATTATTTCAAAAAATCTCAGTTGCCACTTTTGGCCATTGCACTTTTTTTCTATGGAATTAAACCTCCATTGAAAAATATTTAAATTATTAAATTTTAACATAATTGGTCGATTCTATTTCACAAAACAGTGTGTTGATAATATTTGGGGGTGAAAACAAAAATTAAAATATGAATGTTCGTTGGGTCCATGGTGCAAAAACTTCACAAAAGTGAGATATCTTGAAAATAAATAATTAAAAGTAAACGAGATAAAAAAATTTGTAAGTAGTTTTGATATAGGCACTACAAAGCTCTTTGGGAGCAAGTTGAGTTGAAACTTTCTGATACTGAATTTCCTTGCTGTATGCCATTTTCCTACTAAGCTATATGTGAAGAAAGTCTTCTGTTTTTGCCCCAACCTACATTTTACTGATGTAAATCCAAAACATTAGTTCTCTGTAAAACCTCACAAAGCAACAAAAAGAAATTCACAGGGTACTAATGGTAATAGTAACAAAAATAAAATTTTGATTAAAAAAAAAACTTCTAAACACCACTGACATGACTTCAAGAAAGTTTTTTTAAAAATCAAAACCATATAAACATTTGGTACAAAGCACAGATATTGCAATTGTTCTCTATACAGCACCATCTAAACAATGAAAATGAAATCTGGCATTGTTGGGTTCACTCTAGCACTTTGATTTGTTATGCAAAAAAATAAATGAAAGATAAAATGAAATTTAAATTAAATTAATAAAAATAATAAAATAAAGACGATAATTAAACATTTTAAATAAAAATTAAAATAACATTTTTTTTCTTAATCAGTGATATTATCTACAGCTAAAACAGATTTCCTTAACCATCTGGTGATCAATGATAGAGTGAACCTGACAATGGGATTTATGTGAATAACCCTCTCTATAAATGTATATGTTATGGACAACAAATCTATACTCAGAAAATGCACATATTTCTTGTCAAATTTTCAGTTTGCACGTTATGTTCATCAAATAAAATCTATTCCATGACTGTTTTACTTCCTTGACTGAATTTTCTGCAAAACTTTTCCATACAAAAATATAAATAAAAAGAAAAAAAAACAAGAGTCCTAACAGTGTTAGTGGTCATGCATAGTGAAGTTCAATGGGGGCATTCCAAATGTAGGGGTGTGTCCATGGCCATGAAACGGCGGCCCTACAGGATTGTTCATTCCAGGAGGTGCCATTGGGCGGGCCTCAAAACCATGATGGTTGTGATGCCCTAGGATATTGTTTATACTCATATTATGCAATACCGCTGGTGGAGGGTGCGGCCTATTATGGTACAATGTCCCAGCTTGTTGGTGGTGGTGCAAAGAATTAGGGTCCATACCACCCTGCGGCGGGGGCAAAATGGGATTATTTGTAGGAAATTTGATTGGCGAGATATTCAAGGTGTCTGGCTGACCAGGATTTGGCATTTCCCCAAAAATGTTAGTCAGGTTGAAATTTGGCACATGCGGGGTCATAACTGAAATGCTATTTGTATGTGGATTAATACTGGCAGTGCTGGCATGACTTCCATGGACACTGTTTACTCCAAAGCTCGGTGGCTGAAAGTTAAGTCCAAGACTATTCTGTCCTGGTCTGGAAGGGTTGAACAATGAATTGAAAGTGGCATTTATGTCTGGATTTTTATGATAAGCACTCTGGTCTGTCATACTTCTGCTTGAAGGTGGTGGTGGACCAGGGAAAATATTACTTGGAATATAAGTTGGCCCGTCATTTCTTGGAGGCGAGGGTGGTAAATTTGAAATTGAAAAGTATGGAGTCATACTACGATTTGATTCAAAAATGGAATTAGACAAGTTTGTATCAACTTCATACTGTTGCTGCTGTTGCCGAGTCATTCCTTTCTTGGGCATGGACTTGGATGGCCTTTCTGATGCAGAAGAAATGTGCCTTGAAGCTTTGGGTGCTATGCTCGACTTCTTTGGTCTTTCACTTTGGTTGGATGACTTTTGAATGTTAGGGGCATTTTGATTGGTAGATTGTGGTGGTCCAGGTGCATAATGAAGTGGTGGGGGCTCATAATGAGATGACAAACTGGACACATTTTGAAAGTCATTGGATGATGATCTTCCATAATTCTGTCCATAGTTTGGGTTTTGAGGCATAGCCATCCTGCTGGAATCTGACAAAGTATCGTTGTGATGTAAAGGTGGGCTTGTTAGACCAGGTGTCCTTGAATGAGAATTCTTATCTGATGGGTTACTGTAAGAAGAGCGTTGGAATGAATTGGCATTGGTCTCTCCTTGTGAAAGATGCTGAGGAGGATTCATTGGTTCTCTGCTATGGGAAACAGGAATTGGCTGCATATTATTATTATCCTGGCCTCGATTCTGGGCAAGCTCATGTTGTCGCTGTTGGGGATTTTGCCCAACTCCAGAAGGGGTTCTAAGTAAATGTCCCTGGGGACTAAACTCTGGCTGTTGACTCTGACCCTGGCCAGGGATGGCCCCAGAAGGATGAGATGGCAACCCTGGATTTTGCTGCTGTATATCAGGCATCGTTCTGCTTGGCCCTCTTTCCTTTTGCCTGGAATTCTCATCCCGAGACAGGTTAAGTGGAGGTGGATTAGGCATCCCAGGCAGTGGAGCACCATACTGACTCAAAGAAGGATGAAGGGGGTAGAAGGGAAACTGGTGGTGGGGCATCTGACCAAAAGCTGCTGTTGATGATGTAGGAGGTGCAGAGGAAGTTGATGTTAATGTAAATGTGAAAGATGTCCCTATGCCAGAGGGTGCTGGAGGGGCTGGGATACCACCTGCTCTGAGGTACTCTGCGCTAGCTGGAGGGACACTAGTTAATCCAAAGGTGGATGTGTTGTGAAAATCAAATGAATCCTGGGAAGATGACACAGGAGCTGATCCAACATTGGTATTTGTATCAGGCTGCCTCCGTTCTCGGCTGTTTTCTCTTGAGCGTCCACCTCCCCTTTCTTGATTCTTTTCAGGAGAAAACATTGGACCCTGACTCAAAGGAGAAGGTTGACTTAGCGGCAGTGCTCTATTTTCACTGGGGTTGTTCTGAGACAATGGGCCTCCCCTTGGGACAGAATTCGATGAAGGTTGTACAAAATTTTCTGCAGAATAAAAGCCTGATGCTGTCCTAGTCCGCCCATCAGGTCTAGGAGGTGGAGGTGACATCATTTTTTCCTGGCTTCGCTGTGGCATGTAGTGAACAGTACTTGGAGCACCACTGCGCTGACTGCCAGGATCAGAACTCACTGCAGGAAGACCTCCTTGGGATGGAAAAGATGCACTCTGCTGGGGACTTCTTTGCACAAATCGCTCCGCATTCTGCTTCTGTTGGGTCTGTGGTTGTGAAAAGGTATCCCGTTGCTGAATGACCTGTGGCTGTGGGCCTTGCTCTTGTGACTGGATAACCTGCCTTGCTGACGAAGGGTTAGAACTAGGTGTAAATAAGGATTCTGCAGAATAACTCAACTGAGAAGCTGAAAAGGAAGTTTCATTTGACCTTTGTGGAGATCTGAGCTCTTCACCAGATTCAAGGCCATTACCTTTCATCACATCTTGGGCTCCTTGTTTTTCTCTTACATCGTTACCAATAACAGACTGTTGAGAACTGGAAGTAATAACAGAGTAATAATTGTAACCAGCTGCATTAGTACTTGGGCATTCCGTTTCCCCTTTTGTCTTTTCCATTTGTCCCATTCCATTTTCTTGTAAGTTCTTCTGTACTGATGATTTGTTCGAGATTCTGGATTGGCTGGCAGTATAGTTTTGAGACAATGCCATGTCAGAGAGTAGATTTAAGTTATCTGATTCATTATGATTCTGTGCTGTCACGGCAGTATTCTGTCCTGCTGCAGTGGCAGCATTAAATAGAGTTTCAAATAAATTCTCACCACTTTCAAAAGAGCTGTTATGCTCATCAGTAGGCTGTTCCCTATCATCCTGCTTGTCATCCAACTGATCCTGGCTTACTGTTCGTTTTCTCTGTTTCAATTCATTACTAAATACATTATACCTAGGCAGAGTCCCCTTACCAGGTGAAATCTTATCAGGGCTTTTAGGCAACTGCACCTTAGTTTCAGTGTTTTCATTTGTTATCACAAGTGCAGGAGGAGACGGTGAATCATCTGTAAATTCAAAAATGTCCATACTTTTATTTTGCAACACACTATCAGTTGCACTTTTTCCTTTCATTGAAAGTAACCCTTTGGATGGGCCTTTCCGCCTTTTCTTGGGGTGAGGTTCCTCATCAGCATCACACTTGGATTTTCTAGACCGTGATTTCTTTTCTGGCTCCTCATCTACAGGTTTTCCAAGACTCTCAACTTGATCCAGTACATCAGAGAGCTCAGTCTCGGAGAATTCAATTGTTTCTGGGAAAACCTCTTGAACTTTTTCAGCTTGTTTCGACTTTGGCTTCTCTGTTGACTTCTTATTTTGTTTTGAACGCTCTGGACTTCTTATAGACTGACGTCTCTTTTGAGACTTCGATGTATTAGGAGGAGAATTAACTACAGATATGTGTTCTTGAGATTCTGCTTTCTTTGCAGTGGAATCTCCTGATTTTTTTCTTTTGTTCTGAGATTTTGGGTTGGGAGGACTTTTGGTTCCTTGCCCAACACTGTTGGAGAAGGCAACCTCATTTGTATCAAAACAAGACCTCTGATCATTAGTCAGTCTCTGTTCTGTAAAATACCCAGGAAAATGTTCTGGATTCACAGTAATATCAATTTGGTGACCTTCGTTTAATCGTTTCACATCTTTTTTAGTGCCTTCTTTGCTATCATTCTGCTTGTTCTTGTGACTATTAGATTTGTTTCGAGTTCTTCCCTTTTCAACCTCTTTCTCTGAAGATGGTGATTTCATGGGAAATGACTGTCCTTTTGATAGAGGAGACCTTACTGGAGAACGGCCTCTTTCACCTTTTGCAAATGGTGACTTCACCGGAGAGTGAGAGGCACTGCCTTTTGATAAAGGAGACTTGATCTGGGAATCACTCTCTTCATTTGCTTCAGTGACACTTGTATCAATTTCAAGTCTGTCATCATCATCTGCATTATAAAATCCACCAGGAGATCCTTCACTGGAAAATATTGATTCTGCAGCCTTGGCAAGGATATCAGTAGTCGACTCCTGCTTATTCTTATCTGCAGCCTCAGAGCTGCTGGTATCCTTACTTTTGTTTCCGTCCTCCTCTCCAGCTTGGCTGACATCTCTGAAAAGAGGTGCATCCCACAGCGATGACTTCTGGGATTTTGATTTTGACTTTTTCTTCTTTTTACTACCAGAAGTAGATGACAGGGAACTATCAGATTCCCCAGAGGGAGGTTTTGGCTTAATGATACGCTGTCCTGGCTTCTTCAACCCCTGTGCCTGACTTGTAGGGGTGGCAGGAGCTTGGTTGGAGGCAGAGACAGTGTTAAACAGGGGGACTCCATTGCCATCTACAATCAAGCCTGGTTGGCTACCAGGTGGCAGTGTAATCAAGATAGTCCCCTGTGATGTGAATATGGGTACCATGGTAGCAGCACCTGGCTGTAGTGTGATTGTGCCTGGCTGACCTGCAGTCCCTGATGTTATCACAGGGGCTTGAGTGACTGTTGAAGTGGAAGTCACTTGTGTGATGGTTCCACTGCTGAAGTTCTGGGCATCACTTGTTGGAACTATCCCTGTTCCTGGTGGGAGTCCTAAAGTCTGAGTCTTGACCCCAGTGACAGGAAAATTTGAAGAATCTGTGGCATATTGACTAAGGGGCACAGTCATCCTGTTGTGAGAGTTGTTCTCTGCAGTCATTACAGGCGCTCCTGATTGAGTATTATGTAACTGGCTGGCACCATTGGGGCAATTTTTTCCCTGCTGACTGGACCTACTCGAGGGACGTGAACCACTCCCTGACACAGCCCCTCCCATTTTAGCACCAGGCCCAAAAAGGTGAACTGTTTGGGAGGGTAATCCAGCAGCCATATTCATATCAACTGTTTGGGAAGAAGGTAAAGCAGTTTGCGCAGTTATGCTTGAAGACACAGTAGTCATAGCAACTGTTGGCATGGTAGCCTGGGTTGTCATGAGCAACCCAGAAGCTGGCAACCCCACTGGCGGGGCCTGACTTCCAGGCAACCCAGTAGTCTGCTGTTGTGGTGGCATATTTAAATTTCTAGCTTGATTGGCTGGAATAATGAAACCACCAGGTACAGGGGTTGCACCCTGCAGAAGCATGGATGGCTGAGTCACTACAGGGATAATTTGTCCATTAGGAAGCATCAAAGCTGTGGGGTGCTGGCTTGGAGCTCCAGACTGATTATTCACAGTTAGCAGACCACCAGGTTGTAAACTGTTGACCTGTTGTGGTCCAGTAGAGCTCTGTACTGAAGGGGCGACTGGCTGCTGCCTAGCAGCCAAGGATTGGGTGACACTGCTTGGCAATGATGTTATACCAGGTTGATGGTTGGTCAAAGTGGTTGGTGCTGATGATGATGATGCCATGGATGTTCCATCCTCCTGACCTTGGTTGTGAACTTCAGATGGCGCCTGGAAATTGCTGGACGATGACTGCGGCATTTGTGAACCAAGGCCTATGTTCCCTTGCATCAGCGGTAAACCTTGGTCACCAACAAATATCAACTGCCCATTTTGGTTTATGAGTGCAGTCCCTGGTGGGCCACCAGGCAAGATAGGCAATCCCATATTCTGATTGGGCATTATATTTAGCATGCCATTTTGATTGGTTGAAGTCACTGGGTGGGTGTTTCCATTGTCAACATTTGTAGACATAATGGGAGCATTCAAGTTCAGAGACTGTGTGACGCTCGTAGAGTTTGAGTTTGGAGTCACTGCAGAGCTGCTAGTAGGCGAGACACTTTGAGAACCAGCCACTGATTGGTTCCCAACCCCAGAGCTCCCCATCGTTACTGGCTGCTGTACAGCTCCCCGTAATCCTGCAGCATGAGGTTGCAGAACAGCACTGCCGTTTGGCGACATAAACAGGACATTCTGACTTGGAGACTGTCCAGTGCCTCCTTGCTGTGGCCCAGTGTTGATGGTCAGCTGTGTGATGACCTGACCATTGGCATTCAGGAGTGGGACCATCATGGTTCCATCACTGCCAACAGGGGCCTCTGGTGGCACCAACTGTGCAGCCTTGTTTAGATGTTCATTAGAATCCTCTGATTTCTTTGACTTAAGTACACTGCTCACAAGGTTTTTTCTTGGCCAGAATTTTTTCTTCTGATCTTCTCCCTCAGGCTGATGGTTATCCTCCTTCACAATGCCAGTGGAATTCTGCATGGAAAAGTTTTGAAGCTTTTCATATTGGCTTCCCTTCTTGGCACCTTTCCACAAGGCACTAGGATTACTGTCCGGTGGAATTCCTGGAAAAAAGGAATAAGGAAGATAATGATATGAGGAAATAAGTTGCCGCCTATCAAGTAATAGTGGAATTTGAAAAGTTTAAATATAAAAGGGTCAATTAACCAATTTTTCATATGTTTAAAAAATATTGCTATCCATAATTTTGAATTGTTCCCTAATCAATTATTCAAAAATGTTACTTTTATATAATATTTAAAAAGAGGGAGTAGAAAAGAGTTTTTTTCATAAAATGCTACTTAATTTACAAAATCAAGCAACTTTAAATGGAAGTCAAGGTATGCTTTATTGCCATTTTCTTTCAAAGTTTCTTTATAAGGAATATTGAATTTTGCATGCCTGTGTTACAGCTGTCACTAAATTATTAACTCCCCTCACCTGCAGCCTCTAGAAGTCTAAGATACTTGTCCCTTTCTGCAGTCAACTGCTGCATGTTTTCCTTCACATTTCTCAGTTCTTCCTCTGAAATAATTTTTATCAAAAAATAAATAAGTTGAACTAGAAGAAAAATAGTTCACAGTAGGAAAAAGAGTGGGCTAGTATATTAATTGAATTACTTTAAAATTTTTAAAGCCTCCAATTTCAATGACATACCGTAACTTGATATTTCAGCCTCTGACATTTCATCACAAGTCCCTCATATTTGCACCTAAAATTCCCTACAACAACCCATCCGCCCCATTGACAAGTAATCGATACCATTTCCTACCTCCCCCCCCCCACCTTTGCCTTAAGCAATTTGTAATTCTCCTCACCCCATCTACATCTAGTTGCATTTATCCCTTACAAAACCCTTCATCTACACCCAACCTCCAACTCAAAATCGGCTGCACCTCCCCCCCCCCCCCACCCCCCCCCCCCCCCCCCCCCCCCCCCCCCCCCCCC